GGAACTACAACTGTGGGAGCCAAGACTCAACACGTCTGAGGTCAAAGCTTCTGATTTTCTTACTTAGGGTTCCCACAAATCACTATGATTTCTATTAAAGCTATTTCTCTGCCTGCTCCTCTCCTGACCAGACTGTGAGGAAGAAGGAAACTATTCAAACACTATGATTGAACTGGACAGGAAATGGATTGATGTCTGTAAGCAGCCAACAGCCAGCAGCTCTTCATATAGTTCTCACTTGCTGGGCAAATTTGTGGACTTTGCTTTATTTCTTTTCAAGTTTACATTAAAAAAAAAAATTCAAACAAATAAAAAACACCTCAATAAAAAAATATCAATTACCTGGTAACCTTTATTCAGGAAGTGAAAGTAACTAAGAAACAGTGCTTCATAAGGCGTGTCACACAAGGCCTTTGTTTCCAACATGCGCGAGGATGCTGCCCAGTCCAGCACTCCAATGCAGGCACCTTGTTATTAAGGATGTCAGCCTGGTTGACCACAAAATGGTGGTAACATCTTAGCCAATTTTATTTTTACTTTGGTAAAATGATTACAGAAGGTATGGATATGCTGAGGTTTCAGATCCTTGTTCTGTGCATTGTGCTCGCCGGTGAATGATCCCAGCTCGAGTTTGATATACATACACAAAGACAATGTGAGCCCCCCACCCACCCCCAGTCCGGGCAGCAAGCAGTCTGCTCAACTTACTATGACTGGATTTCCCAGCTTCCCCACACTCTCAAAATCTTCCAAGGAGGATAAAAACAGACCACAGAAACTAAAGCAAGACTGGGATGCTAGAAAGATACTGAAACACAAAAGCAAAAATATGAGGCAAGAAGGGAAAGTAAAATAAAGACAGGATGTTAACCTATGCAGTTTCACTGCCAATTCAGAAAGATGTTAAGACAATCACTAGAAAATAAAACCAATCCAGTTCCCTTCCTCCACAAGACATTTTAATGCAGAAAGCAAAAACACTACATCCTTCTTGCAGTAAGCACTGTTAGTATTCAACACTTACGGTGCGTGACATCAAATCAAATCAATCAAAAAATATATCGCAAATGAATATAATGTCAAAATCAAGAGGAAAAATTCTAATATTTCCACAAAATACATAGTTTTATGGATTATTAAGTGGACTTTAAATGTTTGCAACCCTATAGAGCTTTTGTTGCCAACTGAAAAACAAAAAATTATCATAGGATGTTCCAAAGGCCTAATTCATAAAAAAAAAATAAAAAGACAATTTAGTCTATATTTAACAAAGTGTTTATTTAGGATGGTAACACAAGATAAGTCATGCAAGAGCTAAGTAAAAAAAAGAATATAAGGAATGGTAATTGGTGCTGCCAATTAAAAAAATAAGTAAATCATTTTACCACCCAAAAGTAGTATGAAAAACCATTTGAATCTGAGCATGGACATGGTTGTAGTAATCTTTTGGAACTATAAATTAAAGTGTTCCATTCCTCAGAGGAGTAGAGTCCTACAACCAAGATAATCATTACTGTCCCTCCCATCCCACACTTAGATGGCAAGCAGTCCAGAACCCTGCCCCCTAAATTCTAACTTTGCGACTGTTTCAAACTGATACTTCTCAGCAGGAAGGAGGGCAGGCATCTTTGGTGACTCTTAAATGAGACTCCATCTACTTTAGGAGTCCTAAAATTTTGGTAATGAAAACCATAAGACTTGCAAGTCATCCTTACCAACCTTAAATGTAGTGTTCTGACATCCAAGGAAGGATTTCCATGTCAGTTGGGAATAAATTTGAACAAATATACCAAATTGAACATAGTGTCTCAGATTTCAAACAAACATAACTCATCTTTTGGCAAAAATAAATATAGTGGAATGCAAGTTTGATAGATGGAAGAATATACAATCTATCAACTGTCAAGGAGTACAATTTCATTGCAGACACAAAGAATCAACAATTTCAAAGAATGTTTTAAAATAAAAAAAAAGTTGCACTTTCCTCACAAAATTTTCACTTTTAGAACTATCCCAATTGAAGCTACACACTGAATTTATTAATACAGCATTAAGTTTCTTTGTGTAAAAAAATCTTTGTACATAGTAATAAAAAAAGATAAGGCAAGATGCATTAAACAGAAACCTTCTGGTTCTTTTCCTCTGCATTCTTACAGAGCCACTGATGACTATCTGCAATAAAAGAGTTAAGTTTCTGATTTTCCGTGTCAAGCATCTTATGCCTTTGCTGTGGTAAGAATTCTGTCCGAGCACCCTGAAGGACAGATGCTGGTGATGGTCTTTGGCACTTACGCTGGCAAACTGAGCTTCTTTCCCTTGAGTACTAGAATTTTAAAGAGAGGAAGAGAAAACAAAAGGTTACTAACAAGCTTACAGTTTCCTTCTTCCAATTCCTAGAAGTCTGTTACATACAAGATTCTACATAGTAAGGTACAAGGAAATAAGCAATTATATTTAAAAATCTGTGTGCATATGTACAAATATGCATTTTCTCTGAGCAAGGACCATAGCTTTCATCAGATTTTTGTAAAATCTACATATCCTATATTCACACAAATGCAAGAATATACATATACAAGGATGTTGATTTAAAGATTTTGATAGCAGCAAATCGTTAACAACCTGAATACCCATTAACAGGGGGCTGGAAAAGTAAATTTGGTACATACACATAATGGAATACTCTAGGCTACTAAAAATTATGTAGATTTCTATTTACTGACATGAAAAAATGTGAGTGGGGAAAAAAAGCTGATTATAGACTAGCATGTATAGTTTAAATCATGTATCTGTGTATATGCATAGAGAGATATTTGGTATGATGTTTACTGAAACATTAACAGAGATTATCTCTGAGTGATAGGATTTCAGGTGATTGTCTTTTGTACTATCTGTTCTGAATGATTTTTTTTTACAATGAAAATGTGCCATTTTAGGAAAACAATGAAGCTTCAACAAAAGAAAAGAGGTAGGTCCTTATATTTAAAAAGACTGAAAACCCTGATCCACAATTTTATTTGACAGTAATTAAAATGTTTTTCTGAAGCCACTTCTACTTTCTGAGCTACTGCCAGATCAGAAGAGTGCTGGGGCAAGGGAGCTGGGCAAGCAAGCTCCTAAAAGAATATGTGATGCAGTAGCAATGCAGGCAGGACCCAACGTACCTTTTGTAATGTACAAGTAGAAGAAGTCGCAGTATAGAATGGTCTGGACTACACCAGCCACCACAGCAATGAGGTCAAAGAAGCCCTCAAAGTAGAAGCGCCAGATCCAGTTGACAAGATACAGAGCACGATAGAGGCCCAGGAAGAACAGGTAGTGGGTGGTGATGGTCTCGGCCTCCCCAGTCTTGCTGATCATAAAGAGCTGTGGAAGGATAGCCACTGATTCAAGGTAGATGGAGAAAGTCCATAAAATCTAGAAGAAAAATGGCAAGCTTCAGTCAGGATCCAGTACCCACCATAAGTTCATAGGAAACACTCTTTCTTTACTGTGGAGCAGCTTAAAAAAAGTGAAGAATCTGGAAGTGTGGGTATCTCAGCCCCAAGTAAAGCAGCCCGGCAACTGCATAAACCATAGAAACTTAAGCAACATTTAAAGGCAGAGCACTGCCAATGATAAGCTGGGTAACCTGGACACCTTTGCCTCTTTGAATTTTCATAACTTTGTCTCTCCAACACCTTATTCTTCCCTGTACAATTTTCTATGAATTTACATATATGATGCTCTCCTGGATAAGCATGTCCCACATTTAAGTTTCAAGTCCTGAATCAATCTTGCTTTCCACCATGGTCAATAACACTGATAACTAGGATCCTTCTACTTCCTCACTGCTGTTTTTCCTCATTAGCAGATCTCCTTTCAGACTAAATATTTTCACTATTTTTCTTAGGCTTTTTGGTATGGTTAAATCAAAGGGGTAAGAAATCAGAATTGTAATTATGCAAACTCTGTTTAATTCATGGTATGTAATTCATGCCAATGACAGAAGGATTTACAAGTAGTCCTTGAGTGTTTTAATAATCTGGGCACTCCTAACACCCATCAGACAACCAAGAGCAGCACAAAACTTAAACCCCAGGATGCTAAGCAGCAGCTCTTCACTGGAGGAAAAGGCACTTAGGACCAGGTAAGCTCACTGCACAGTGCCACGGGCACCACAAACCATTCTTCCTAAAATTGAGGAGTGTAGCAGTGCTGCTTAGGAGATTCACAGACACAGTATCAATGTACAACATCACACCCGGAAAAGAAACAAAAGTTGGGCCAAGGTAGCGAGAAGACCATGTTCTTCAAACACTAGGACAGGCAGGGCTCTGTATTTGGTACCACAGAAGTCAAGATAATGAAATAGTTTTGAGTTTACATTCTAAAAGAGAGTAAGACAATAAGCTGTCAGCAGACACCCTGATACTTGGGTGCTTAATCCTTTTTTTTTTAGGATGACCGGTAAGGGGATCTTAACCCTTGACTTGGTGTTGTCAGCACCACACTCTCCCAAGTGAGCCACGGGCCAGCCGTTTGGGTGCTTAATTCTTGTCCACCATTTACTTATACCAAATAGTGTGTGTTGTACCAGAAGTTTGCCAAACTGGAAAACAAAACAAAAAGCCCCACATTATTTGCAAACAGATTATCTAGGGAACCAGACATGACCACTAAATAACCTCAACTAACCTCAAGAGGAGAGAAATCATGATTGACTAGAAATGAGAGGCCTCCCACAGGGACCACCAGAAACTCCACTCGGAAGGTATCATGATTTCCATCATAGGTTGCCTTGAATTTCATGTAGATCAGGTACACCGTGGCATAGGAACAGCCAATGTAAATAAGCTAAAAACAAAAGAAAAAATACAAGGTGGTCAATACCTTGCAATTGTTCCAACTCCCTCAGCTTTTTACATCACCCACATATTAAAAAAAGTGGGACTTTTTCCCCTTAGCTTTTCTTTTTTGGTATCTTTAAATTTAAACATAGTTAATACAGTTCTATGAGTCATATAACCACCACCAAAATTAGGACACAGAACAGTTCCATCACCCCCAAAATTCTGCCATGCTGTCTCTTTGTAGTCAAGCCTCTCCCAGGCTTAACCTCTGGCAATTACTGATTTGTTTTCTGTCCCCAGTTTTGCCTTTTCTAGAATGCCACATAAATGGAGTCATATGGTATGTCACCTTTGAGTCAACACTTCTTTCAGTTAGCATAATGCATTTGAGAGTCAACCAAACTTGTTATAGGTATTAATAATTTGTTCCTTTTTATTGCTGAGTACCACTCCATTGCATGGGCACACTACAGTTTGTTTATTCACTCACCAGTTAAAGGGTAGGTGGGTTATTTCTAGTTTGGGGGGGATGCTGGATAAAGCTGCTACGAACATTTGTGTACAGGCTTTTCTGTGAATATAAGTTTTCATTTCTCTTGGGTATGTACCTAGGAAGGAGACTGCTGGGTCATATGCTAAGTGTAAGTATAACTCACTTTAAACCATGAGATAGCAACTTAAAAAAAAAAAAAGAATACAAAATTCAATGTAGTTCAAAACCAATGGACCTCCTAGCATGATGGTATTTCTTATCTACCGCTTTTCTAAAGATAATGTAAATAATGTTAAACTTTGTAATGATGGTTTTTACTTAAATCGTGTTACTTTAACACTGAACATTCCGGTTGTTGGTATTAAATTTTGTCTGGTAACATAACAAAAGCAAAACTTAAAGTTAAGGATAATGTGTAAAACTTGCTGCCTCCAAGGTAGCAATTTTGTGCACATAGCAGCACAGATGCTCAACTCAAGGACTTACAAGTATGTGTTCTTTCACGTTCAAAAGGCCAAATATCATATATTCATCTAACCGCAAGGAAAAGTCTGATATTCTGAAATTATGTCAATTTTCAGATTGCAGAAATTTCAGCCAATGAATCAAATATCAGGTTTAGTCCATGAACAGAGATAACTGGGACAGCAGCTACACTGCATGGTACTACTTCATCTTAGGAAAGAACTTATGAGACCTAACTAGGAAAACATTCATGCAAATGTTGAGTGCGGGAAAGTGCGGTGCTGGGAGCGCAGCAGCGCTCCCGCTGCGGGTTTGGATCCTATATAGGGATGACCGGTGCACTCACAGCGCTTACTGGCTGAGCGCGGTGCGGCCGGTCTCAAAAAGGACAAAATAAATAAATAAATAAATTTTTAAAAATAAATTAAAAAACCCAAAAAACCACAAAGACACTAAACCGTCCCTAGCACTTCATCGTGCAGTTATATTTGCAAATAAATAGTCAACATAGTATTAAAATGGTAGGTTATACCCATATACTAAAGAACTACCAAAAAAAAAAAAAAAATCAAGATTTTAAAAATAAATTAAAAAACCCAAAAAACCACAAAGACACTAAACCGTCCCTAGCACTTCATCGTGCAGTTATATTTGCAAATAGTCAACATAGTATTAAAATGGTAGGTTATACCCATATACTAAAGAACTACCAAAAAAAAAAAAAAATCAAGGAACATTAACATATTGTTAGAGGAGTTCTCTCCACACACAAATACATGTACACATGTACGTGAATAAAATAAAATACATAATCTACATGCATAAACAAAACACACCCACATCTACACACACATTGAACCCCCCTCAGGAGCACACCCAGCCGAGGCTCAGGACAGCCTATGGCCAGCCAACACTATGCCCATGAAGGCCTTAGCAGCCACTGGGGAAAAACGGCTGCTTTTCTCCTCTCACCAGAGCCTGGCAGTTAAAGTACAAAGACATAAGCACGTACAACTTGGCTTTCACCCTGCTGAATTTCAGGACATGTTTGAAAACTACAACCAAAAGAGCAAAAAAGAATCTTTTTTTTTGGAAACCAACAAGAAGGAAACTTCTAAAAGCTGGGAATCCTAAAGGGAAAGGAGGAAGATTCTTGTTCACACACCTGTAATACCTGTAGTTTTAGTTGCCTAGACAACAAGCAGGGACTGAGCCATTTTTAAGTAAGCTACTCATATATTTATATTTCCTCATTTCTAGGCTCCTATCACTTTGTAGTAAGAGTGAAATGATTACAGATGACTCAAATTTGCTTTTGCATAAAGATCACATACTCAAATACTGCTTTGTCTACTTTGACCTGTGCTTATAAAAATACTTTTGAAAACAAAGTGTTTGAGGAGGGTTGTTAAAATGCCACACCAATAGGCTTCAGCTTAAATATTACTTCCTTGGGCACGTCAGTAACCAAATGCCTAGAACAGTGCCTGGCACACAGGTGCTCAGTATTTGTAAAATGAATGATGAAGAAAAGCAGACTCCTACTGCATGTCCTAAGAGCCCCTATACTTTTCTTTCATAGCATTCATCACAAATTGCAGTCATTTATTCGGAACTGCCAAGATCTGTCTACTCTCCCCCACCAGACTATAAGACTTTTGCTTGTTTTCTGCCATATCCTCAGTGCCTGACTCTGTAGGTGTTCATAAGCATGAGTTCAATGACTGTGGGAAAGAACCGAGTCCAGTACTTAGTCCAGTACTTCCCCTAAGTGTGAAATGTGTAACACCAATGGTATACAACATGTTAGGTGATATGCATTCTGTATTTTAATAGTTATACATCTGTTTTATTTATTTTTATTTTTTTCCCTTTTTGTCTTTTTTACTGACCGGTAACGGGATTGCAACCCTCGGTGTCGCGCCCGTACCGGGGACTGGCAACGGGATCGCAACCCTCGGTGCTGCGCCCACACCGCGCTCAGCCAGTGAGCGGGAACCGGTCTCTACATGGGATCCGAACCCTTGGCGGGAGCGCCGCCGCGCTCCCAAGCGGCGCACTCTCCAGTGCGCCACTGGGCCAGCCCTACATCTGTTTTAATGTGAATTAAGAGAAATATAAGGACACTAAAGGTGTCATGGTCAGGACAGGTTAAAAGGTTTAAAAAAAATATTAAGTAAATTATGGTACAGATGTTATTTAAGCATGACAAAAGTAATAAAAATAGCACACATACAGAAGTTTAAGAAAAATTGGTTAAGTGAGAAGAAAAAAGAAAACAGTACATAGAAGTCTACACATAGTCCCTCATACAGCAGCAAAATGAAATGTTGCAACCAGGAGTCCTGGCTTTAATTGCTTGTTAAGTACTGACTTGCTGAATATCTCTGGGGAGTCTGTAATTTCCCACTGCTTGAAAATATAATAGTTATCCCTCTTCCTACGAGGTTATCAAGAGCTTTAGAAGATTTACCATTCTTGAGGAAATTTAAGTACAAAGTATTTTAATTAATAGTATTTTGAAACAAAAAATATGCCTAATGATAATTCTATTTATTCCCAGTTCTAAGTATACGCTAAGTGTTCCTTAAGTTTTTAAGTCAATAACAGCATACGTAGAAATTTTTCTTGGAGATTTTTAATTAAAAATACACAGGTGGGGGCCGAGCCCGTGGCGCACTCAGGAGAGTGCAGCGCTGGGAGTGCAGCAGCGCTCCCGCTGCGGGTTCGGATCCTATATAGGGATGACCGGTGCACTCACAGCGCTCACTGGCTGAGCGCGGTGTGGCCGGTCTCAAAAAGGACCAAAAAAAAAAAAAAAATGCACAGGTGAAATAAATTAAGTTTCCCTAGGTCTGTGCATTATGGATAAAATGCATCCTATCAGGTGCCATACCATACCTTCATAGATGTATTATATAATGAAATAAATGAAGTAAAAAGATCCAGGTAACGAGTTGTGAAGACCAGTGCAAACAGAAGCTGGCTTTTCCCAGAAATACCTAAAGAAACAAAAGGAAAGCATCAGAAAAGCTATGAAGAGCTTTATGATTCCTTTAGATGACACTATGCAGGAAGCACTGATAGGGAAAGTGGAAACATGGGGTCTAAGGCCCAGGTCTAGGGATGACTGAATAAACAAGATAAGTTTTAGTTTTTCTTTCCCATAATATGTCTGACCATACTCCTTTTGGGAGGCTCCATCTTACTATGATGGTTGACTACAGGAAAATGACTTAAGTCACCTCCAATATACCAGGATGTATATCACTCAAATGAACATATTTCTCAATTATCTCACTGTAGGCAGGTATAAATTTCTTTTGATAATTCTGCTGCTTTTTAGTGTTGTAAGTTGTTGGTTACCTTCAGATCTTTTTTCCATTTCAAAACAATATGTCCATGGTGACAAGTCTTTTGAGAACAGAGTTGGGATCTACTATGATTAAGGGTATGAGGAATCAAGTGAGGAACACTGGTTCAAGTAAGAGTGAGTAGTAACACCCTCCCCTGCCCCCCAATGATGGCATGACCTTGCAAGGTGACTACTTTGCTGAGGACAGCATTTCCCTGGATATGTTATGGTTTTTAAAAATTCCATCTCTCAGATTTATCATACAACCAACCTCATATTCATATAAAAACATTCCAGGATGCTATGGCAACACAAGGGTAGGAACCTGATATTACCCTCTTCAAAAGCAGCTGTCATTTTTAACACCTTGAAACTGTTTCCACCTCCAACCACCAACCCACCTTCAGAGCACTGTGAGGCACATCAGACACAGCTGGGCAAGACCAGAAGTCCACACAGTGTGCACATGGCTGTTCTGACCTCTCTATGGCCAAATATTTATGTGACAAAGGACATGAACTATGAGTTTCAGATGTTGGAGACTAAGCGAATTCATTAAGGAAGCTAAAGGCTGACTAAACCTCAGAACCCACCCGCCCTCACCTACAATGCAAACCTCACAATGTTACACATTTTAGTAAGCATGTATTTATTTTTTTAGGTGGCTGGCTGGTTGGGGGATCCAAACCCTTGACCTCAGTGTTATCAACACTGCACTCCAACCAAATGAGCTAACCAGCCAGCCCAAGCATGTATTTAACAGAAATGTCAGTGCATCCAAATTATTCACAA